TTACTCGGGATATTTTGGGGGTGGTGCTGGAGATATGGGGATCAAATCCCCCAACAAGCTATCCTCGGTGTCACCACCGGTATCCAGGGGAGACATTCCAGGCATCTGGCTGTCGTGCCCACAGTCCATGCCAGGGGCTCTGCTTCAAGTCCCAGGAGGGAGGGGGAAGACAGAAGGGGGAGGGGCAGAGAGAGCCTGGGAAAGCAGAGGGAAGGGGAGTCGCTGGGGCTGGGGCCTCATTGGTATTCTGAGGACTCCCCCACCGCCGGGCGGCACTCAAGGCCCACCCCCTGGCACCAGGCTGCACATTCATCAGCACCAGCCCTGGCCAGCGGGCCCTCGGGGCTCCCAGCAACGCCTGTGTTTCGCACTTTGGTTCGCATGACGGGTGTGCCCATTCCCAGCGCAGCCCCTCCCCCACCCCACGTCCAGCGAGTCCCTGACTTGCTTTGCTTAAGCCGAGAATCTGCTGTCTAACCTCCATCCGTCCAGCTGCAAAGTCAGCTCCTCCTCTGTGCAGGGAGTGGGAGCCCCACCAGAGACAAAACCCAATCAGAGCTGCCCACCGGGAGATGGCTAAGGTCCTCTGCACTCCATCCGGCCTCCAAAAAACAGCTTCCCTCCCCCATTTTTATGCTCCCGTCATCCTCTCCCTTACTGCCCAGGTCTGAGGCCCTCCCCCTCTCCCCTTGCCCCTCGGGAAGTCCCTCCAGCTGTCTAACTTCCATCCCTCCTGCTGCAGCCTCCCTCCAGCTCCGCGAGCGCTCCCTCCCCGCCGCTTCTGCCCTCCCTCCCTCCCTGCTCCCCGCGCCCGGCTTCTCCTCCCCAGAACGATGTCCTACTTCGCACGTCCTTGCTCTCGCGGCGGCCGCCGCCGGGAACGGACGCAGAGGAGGCAGCGGGTCGCGTGACCTTCCCGAGCCCCCCGCGTCCCCGGCCAGGGGGCGGGGGTGGCCCCGGGGAGGGGAGGGGCGGGGCGGGGGCGGGGGGAAGAAAGGGGGTTTTGTGCGGCGCCCGGCGGCCCGGCGCCCTCTTCCGAACCTCCTGCGGGCCCGGCCTCTCCCTGCGCCCGCGCAGTTCCCGCCGCAGTCGCCTGCAGCCGCAGGACCGAGCGTGGACCCGAAGGAGAGCCCGGAGGAGAGCCCCGAGGAGAGCCCGGAGGAGGCGGCAAACCCGGCGGTGCCGCCCCCTCGCCCCGGGCCCCCGCAGCCTGTAGGTAGGTGAGCGAGAGAGCAGCGGGGCCGCCCGAGAGCGGGGGGCACCCGCCGGCCGCCCGCGGTCCGCGTCCCCCGCGCAGCCCTGGCCTCCCGCGGCGGACCCAGCCCCTGACCCTGCCAGCCCCCGAGCGCTCGCCGCCGCCTCCGGCCCTGCGGTCCGCACCCCTCCGCCGTGTGCGGCCCGACCTGCGTGCCCGAGTCCGCGGGCTGATGGGAACGCCCCCCCACCCCCCGTCCCCGCCGCCTCCCTGCTGTGCGCTCCGGTGCCAGCCCCCCGCCCCGACTTCCGACCTTGTGCTGGGTGGGCGGCGGGAGGAGCGGGAAGCAGCCCTTCTTCTGGGGGCCCCTCCCCGGGGCCCGCGGGACAGCCTCGGCCGGTGGTCCGGGCTCCCACTGGCGCCGGGAGTCCCAACTCTGTCACTTACTTGCTCTGTGACCTTGGGCAAATTAGTTGACCTCTCTGAACCTCAGGTTCCGCATCGGTGTAACCTATAGATAGTATTTTTCTCAAAGTTAAGGTTGTCCATGGGAAGCGTTTTTAAGTGGCCTGGCTCGGGAAGAGGGTCGGTAACCATGAGCCTGAATTCTGGTTACCACTGCGGCTCTCCTTCCTAGCGGGCGGGTGGGTGGGGACACCCCCTGCCCCAGGTCCTTTCATGTCCCCTGCTCTCCTGCTTCCAACGGGATCAAGAGATTTTGCCATCAGTTTTGTTAGCACCGTTAATACCTGCACAACTTCTATTCCAGAAAAAAGCGTAAGATCAAGGGACGCTGTTACCCACGGCCCACCCACAGCATCACGAGCGCCTGATGCTAACTTGGCGGCATCTGCCCACAGGTTCCAGCAGAGGAGCCGCAGTCGTTGGCTTGTGATGTTGCTAATTGTATTACTAGTCGTGCTTCTGATCACTAGGACTGTTCGTGCAACTTCTATAGCGGGTCCTGCAGGCCCCGCTAAGGGCTGGCGGCTGTGGTCGGTGTCGCGCGGCTCGCGTTGCTGCTCACACTCAGGCAACCGTGAGAACTTCCCTCCTGCTGCCCTTGCTGCGTTCGGGAGCCTGGTTCCTGTAGGGCAGACCTCAGATGGCCAGCCTGGGGTTGGGGAGGGCAGTCAGCGCAGAGATGGGGGTGTTGGACACACACACACACACACACACACACACACTCACACACACACACACACACACACACACACACACACAGCCTACTCTTCATCTTAATCCTCTGTGGATTGGGTCTTCAAGCCTGGGAGGGAGCTGGACTCAGCAGTCAGACAGGCATGACAACGTAACACGAGGGAAGTTTCCTGAACAGCCTGCGAAATGCAAGGCAAGGGCAGAAATCCTGGAGCAGCAGCAGGACAGAATGAGCTGGACAGAGGGACGGTGTGGCATCAGGGTAAGGGACAGGAAGCCCCCCACAATGCCGAGCTCTCCAGGTTAGAGATGGAGAGGGCGTGAGCTCCGGACGACAGCAGAGGGGCTGGAGAAGGCCTGGGCCCGCTCCCCGCCTCAAGCCCAGGTCTGAGGCTGGTGCCCGCTGAGGGGATGCCATAATTTTCCCAGGACACCTCGCTGTACCAGGAGGGAGCTGAGGCCCAAGCTGGGCGGGGTTGGCAGTGGGGTGGGGGGCAGCGCAGATGCCTCTGATCATGAGAACCAGACAATTCAGGCCCCCTCTTGGCCCCTCTGGTCAGTGACTCCCACTGGGTGGGATGACCCCCTTATCCCTGTGTCACTAGGCCTTCACCAGCCTCAGACCCTCTCCCTTCACTCCCTCACCTTCAAAACAGAGGTGAAAGGGGGTTCCAGGCTGTGGGTCCCAGAGTGGCTCCAAATATATGGGTTTCTGGGCCGCCTGTTGGAGAGCTGGGACCCAGGTCTGTGAGCTGCTCCAGCTCCAGCCCAAAGAGAGGGGAGGGAAGGCGCCAGAAAGGGGCCTGGCCAGGACCTCACCAGGCTCACAGGCAAGATGACCAGTCTGCCCAGCACCCAGCAGGGACTGGCCACCCATGCCGAATGGTCCCTCACCTACCCCAGAAAGCGGTCCTCCCAGGTGCCCCCATGTGCAGAGCTGGTCTCAGCAGCCTCTGGTCTGGCCCCCTAGAGAAAGACTCTAGACATTTAGCTTCTGTCACTCCTTCCCCAAGTGTGACCCTGAGGAGATGAAGCCCAGCCGTAGTGGGGGGAAGGGAGGTGTTGTCGGTGGGGAGGCTTTCGGAGGAGGATCTGAGATCCCTGGGAGAACTGGGGAGAAGAGAGGAATGTCCCAGCCGCTCAGGCTCAGGAAGGCGGAGATGTGCAGGAAGGCAGAGCCTGAGAGGGCAAAGAAGACAGAGGTCGAGCAGTGGGCCTGGAGTGGGAATGAACCTGAGCACTAGGACGTCTTGCCTGTAGTCCTGTGGGGTCACTGGCCTCTTCCAGGGCAGACCCGGGTCTGCACGCATTTCAACTAGCCCGACCCGTACGGATGTTGGACACTAGTTCCCCAGACTTCCCTCCTGCGGACACACTGGCCCGGTACCTGACTTGACTTTGCTGGGGACCAGGGTCAGCCCTAGCCCTCTCTGGGTCCCCTTTCTCAATGTCACCCCCGCATCCCTCCATTATGAGAGTGTAAGTGCCTTGAGATCTTCAGAAGTCTTGTGTGGATTCTCAGAGTGTCAGATAGCCAAGGGTAGGAGGGACATGTCCCCTCCCATTTAGTCTCACCCTCCTTTAGCACCCCCCCCCAAGCGTAGGGCTGGGGTGGGGGAAGGGAGAGGCTGGATGGAGGCCAGACTGGCAGAGACAGGGGCTTTGTCCCAGCCGGTTTCTGAGCCAGGAGATCCGGTGGGAAAGCCCGTGCCAGGCAGAAAGGAAGGCTGGGAAGAAGGGAGAAGGCAGCCAAGGAGGGGGCGGAGGATGCTACGAGTAAAGAGAAGAGTTTTCTTATAAGTAACCATGGGGTAGGGGGAGGTCAGGGAGGGGTAGGGCTAGAGAGAAGTTGCACATTGCCCAGGTTCAGTCTAGGAGGCCTTCCTGGAGGAGGCTAGGTGGGTACAGTACTCAGGGAGGAAGGGACAGGAAGGGAATCCTGGAGGGATACTGGGGGAGGAGGAGGTTCTGGGTTCAAGGAGGGAGTCTGGCATGGGAGGAGCACAGGGGGTTGGTTTTGTTTTTGTTTTTAAGATTTTATTTATTTATTTTGCAGAGACTGAGAGAGCACAGGCAGGGACAGCAGCAGGCAGAGGGAGAAGCAGACTCCCCGCTGAGCAGGGAGCCCAACACAGGGCTCCATCCTAGGACCCTGGGATCATGACCCGAGCCAAAGGCAGATGCTTCACCATCCGAGCCCCGCAGGCGCCCTGAGCACAGGGGTTGTTAAGTACAATAGCACCCACCACGCATACTATCAGCATTTATTGAGCTCCTACAGTGTACCGGAGCTGTGCGTCTCTATAGGGTTTTTAGGATAGACAGGGCTCTAAAGCCCATAGCCTCATCACAACCCGGGAGGTAGTCATGGTGCTCCTGTACAAGTTGGCAAACCAAGGCCCAGAGAGGTTAAGGACCCGGCCTTAAGTCATGCAGCAAGTTGACTAGAACCCGGTCTGGTTCCCAGGAAGAACTTCCTGGTGGGGAGATAGGATCAGAAACAAGGGAGTTAACAGTGAGGTGGGAACAGCGGGCTTCCGGGGCCATGATGTGTGTGAGTCCAAATGGGTGTGGTTGGGAGCCAGGGGAAGTTCGTCTTGAGGTCTAACCTCGTCTTTCCTCCTCAAGTCCCTCCACCAGCCTGAGCATGGCCCCACGGTTCCTGCCCCTGCTGGCAGCTCTGGCCCTGGCCCAGGGCCCTGTGGCCTTAGCTGATGCCCTGGAGGGGGACAGCTCAGGTAAGCAACAGCACTCAGGGTCACTGTCTCTGTCTCCCGCATTGCCCCTGTGGAAGGGGGTGGGCTTGGAGGACCCAGGGAGAGAGGATTGGGGCACTGAGGGGAAAGGTCTGGTCTGGGACACTTGGAAACAAGGGATGAACCGTGGGCTCTGGGTGAGGCAGGGAAAACTGGGGGGAAGGTGGGAGGGGCAGCAGGTGCAAGGCCGCGGGTCTCTAGAGTCTGGGACCTGTAGATGGGCTGGGGAGGCAGAAGGGGGTAGAGCGGGGAGAAATCCTGAAGGTGAGTCTGAGGGAAACAGGGGAAACTGAGGCCAGGGCTGGAGGACCTGGGGAGCAGATTAGACCTGGGCTGGGCACCCGGGGATTCTGGGGTGGTACTGGGCCACTCTCTGGGAGAACTGACTGGGAGACCTGGGGACAGCTCTGGAGAGTGTCCAGGGTGGTCCTGGGGTCCTAGAGGCCGGCATGCGCGGCCCTTGTGGTGGGTGGGAGGGATCCCGGGGCAGGCTGGGAAATCGGGTGGGACGGTGCGGACCCTCGCACCCCCCCCCCCCCCCCGAGTTCCAGCTGGCCCCGCCCACTCACCCACCCACAGACGACCGGGCCTTCCGCGTGCGCATCGCTGGCGACGCGCCACTGCAGGGCGTGCTGGGCGGCTCCCTCACCATCCCGTGCCACGTCCACTACCTGCGGCCACCGCTGGGCCGCCGGGCCGTGCTGGGCTCCCCGAGGGTCAAGTGGACCTTCCTGTCCGGGGGCCGCGAGGCCGAGGTGCTGGTGGCACGGGGGCTGCGCGTCAAGGTGAGCGAGGCTTACCGGTTCCGCGTGGCGCTGCCGGCCTACCCGGCGTCGCTCACCGATGTGTCCCTGGTGCTGAGCGAGCTGCGGCCCAACGACTCGGGCATCTACCGCTGCGAAGTCCAGCATGGCATAGACGACAGCAGCGATGCAGTGGAGGTCAAGGTCAAAGGTGAGGGCAGGATGAGGGAGGTTCCGCAGGGAGGGAGCCCACAGTCTGAGGGGGAAGCACACCCAGGTGGAAGGCACCCACAGAGCTGGAAAAGGAGTGAGTAGATACCAGCCTTGGTCACCTCGTTTCTCTCTGCTGCTCCCTGCGGGGTGGAGGGAATCCTGCTCACAGTCTAACATAACCCCCTCTTGCTGTCGAGTGAGCACCATTTGGACTTGACTCCTTGTGTACAGGGGAGTGACAAGGAGGGCGAGGGGAGGCTGGTATGGGGGTGATCCTGCCTCAGGGCTCCTCTCTGCCCCCCCAGGGGTCGTCTTTCTCTACCGGGAAGGCTCTGCCCGCTATGCTTTCTCCTTCACGGGGGCCCAGGAGGCCTGTGCCCGCATCGGAGCCCGCATCGCCACCCCGGAGCAGCTCTATGCCGCCTACCTCGGGGGCTATGAGCAGTGTGACGCTGGCTGGTTGTCCGACCAGACCGTGAGGTGGGTGGGCGGCTGGGGACCAGGAGCTTCTAGTTGTAGCTGAGGTATCGGTGGGCCCTGGTTCGGCAGGGACTGCCTGATGTCTCAGGCTAGCCATCCGGCTCCCACTGCCTCCAGGCAATGAGGTTGGCCCGCCCTGGGGTAGGGGGTGTCCCTGCAGAACCGGGTAGACAGCTGGCTGCCTTAAAAGGCAGGGTGGTTCAGGAGGGGCATCCCTGGAGGGCTCCCTGATGAAGGCATCTTTACTCGCTCTCAGGTATCCCATCCAGACCCCACGAGAAGCCTGTTATGGAGACATGGATGGCTTCCCCGGGGTCCGGAACTACGGAGTGGTGGACCCGGACGACCTCTATGATGTCTACTGCTATGCCGAAGACCTAAATGGTGATTGGGGGTGAGGGGTTCTCGGGTTAGAGCCCCTTCTCCGGGGCTGGCCGGAGCTCCTCCTGGGGCCTCTGCTGGACCTATCATCCCTCGTGTGTTCAAGCGGGCATCCGGAGGGGCTTCCAAAGAAACAAGCTGGTCCCGCTCTCCAAACTGTCATGGAAGCAAGTTCGTGGCCAACGCCTCAGACAGGTGGTCGGAGACTGAGTCTGACACCTGCTGTGCCTCTCTCTACCTCTCAGCCTCCCCAGGCCTCACTCTCCTTCTTTGCAGAGTGAGGAAGTGGAGCCAGCCCCTCTGAGTAATTTCATCCCAAGGTTCCACTCAAGCTTTGACCCTGAAAGAGGGGAGTTGACTCCTTGTCCCCGATGTGGAGACGGAGGCCTGGAGAAGCCAGCCAGGGTGGACGGGGCTGCCGGCTTCCGGGTGACACAGCCTCCTCTTCCCTCCCAGGAGAGCTGTTCCTGGGTGCCCCTGCAGACAAGCTGACGCTGGAGGAGGCACGGGCGTACTGCCGGGAGCGGGGTGCGGAGATCGCCACCACCGGCCAGCTATACGCCGCCTGGGATGGCGGCCTGGACCGCTGCAGCCCGGGCTGGCTGGCCGACGGCAGTGTCCGCTACCCCATCGTCACGCCCAGCCAGCGCTGCGGGGGTGGCCTGCCCGGTGTCAAGACGCTCTTCCTCTTCCCCAACCAGACCGGCTTTCCCGACAAGCACAGCCGCTTCAGCGTCTACTGCTTCCGAGGTGAGCGGCCTCCCTGCGGGGGCTGAGACCGGCCTGTCTCTGTCAGGGACCCAGAGCTGCTCGGACTAGTATCTCTCGGGTCTTTGCCGTTTGCCTGAAGGAACCCTGGGTGACGCGCGGCTTGGCACCTAGGGCTCTCGTTCCGCTGATGCCCTCTGGCTTGGGCTGTGTGGCCTCAGGGAGGACTTGCCTCCTTGTGCCCCTCACCTACCTTCCCTTCAGCCATCCATGGCTTGCCTCCCCAGTGCCAAAGCCGCCTCTTCCGTATTGGGAGGTTGGGAGGTTCCATCTCTGGGTATCTCATTAGTAGAGCAGAGATTTTTTTTTTTAAGATTTTATTTATTTATTTGACAGACAGAGATCATAAGTAGGCAGAGAGGCAGGTAGAGAGAGAGAGGAGGAACCAGGCTCCCCACTGAGCAGAGAGCCCGATGTGGGGCTCCATCCCAGGACCCTGGGAACATGATCCAAGCCAAAGGCAGAGGCTTTAACCCACTAAGCCACCCAGGCGCCCCTAGAGCAGAGATTAGGGACATTCTCTGAACCCAGTGAATGGTCTGATCCAGTTACCATTATGCTCTCCAGAGCTCTCATGACGTTGGGGGAGGTGGGCAGGGTCGGAAACTTCAGTTGATGGTCTCAGATCTTTAGCCACCAAGGGTTGATGGACAGATGCAAGTCCTCCCCATAGGGAGCAGGTCCTCAAGGACCGCTGGGTGTAGAGATGGCTTTCTGACCACATCTTAACATTGGGAGCTGGCAGGAAGGCAGTGCCTCGGATCCCCAGAGGCACAGGGCCCCGACCAAGGGTGGCTGACAGTCATGGGGCGTTCTCAGTCCTCGCCACACTCGTGAGCCTGCGGTACTGGTGGGGCTGGAGGCAGAAGTGAAAGGAGAATGCACAGCCCCTAGTCTGAAGGGGAAAGCCACTGCTTCTGCCTTGGGAGCCCCCAGTCCAAGGGGAGATGAGATGCCTTGCTCCCAGTATGAGGGGAGACTGAGAGAAAAGCATTACTTCTGCTGGGCTCGATCCACAAACATCTTGAGCCCGGGGCAAGGGAGCGGTGGGGCAGTGAAGTCCGTAGGAAGGCAGGTCTGTCTGGAAAGGCCATCTGGAAGAGGGTTGACTGTGATGATCGTAATTACAGTGAGCAGCTTGGAACAGGTGGAGGACAGAGGTGGGCAAGGGCACGACTTCGTTTGCCTGGCAGGAGCCAGGCTCCCTGGAGCAGGCTGTGCAGTCACGTCTGGCTAAGCGCAGACAGCCCTCAGGGCTTTTCTTAACCCAGTTCCACCACCGCTTCATTGGTTTTCTGACCTTCGTTCTCTTCTCCAAAGACCAGGTTATCCTTTCCAAAGCCCCAGTGGTTTGAAGGCAGCAATTCCTGGAAGGATGTGGCAGCCCCTCCCTTTCCCCTCCTGCCCCAGTGCTGAGACCCTCAGGTGGTGACTGTTGGATGTCCTTCCTGGACTCCACCCTTCAGCTCTCCTGCGTGAAGGCCTTCTCTCCCCTTCCATTCAAAAAACCCGGGGGTCCTTGTGCCTTGCTCCAAGAGCAGGGTCCCACAGTGCTGAGACCACCTGTCCATCCTTCTTCCTCCACCCCTTAATCAGGAAACTCTCTCCTGAGCCTTTCCCGACAGCTCTGTCTAAAGTAGTACTTCTCACCATTCTATCTCCTTACCCTGCCTAATTTTTTTTAATTTTTTTTTTTTTAGATTTCATTTATTTATTTGACCGAGACACAGCAAGAGAAGGAACACAAGCAGGGGGAGTGGGAGATAGAGAAGCAGGCTTCCCACTGAGCAGGGAGCCCGATGATGCGGGGCCTGATCCCAGGACCCTGGGATCATGACCTGAACTGAAGGCAGATGGTTAACGACTGAGCCACCCGGGCGCCCCTAATTGTTCCTTGTATGATAACTTTATGATACATGCTTATTTGTTTATTATCTGTAGCTAGGCTATAAACTCCCTTAGGGCAGGAGGCTTGCTGGCTATTCTCCACTGTATCTTCAGTGCCCAGAAGAATGCTGGTCTGCCACATGGTGGGCCCTTGATTGATGCTTGAGGAATAGGTGGTGAACTCCCTCCCACAGTGCTCCCTGGGTCCTTTGGGTCCTCCACAAAAAGGCTGAGTGAGAATTGGGACTCTCATGGTCTTTGAGTCTAGCCCAGAGACAGTGAGTCTCTGCCATGCCCTTGGCTGTAGGACCGAGCTGCCTGGTCAACTTCCCATTGGCACTTCCCTCCTGATAGACTCTGCCCGGCCGTCCGCCATGCCTGAGGCGTCGGACCCAGCGTCGGACCCGGTCTCTGATGGGCTGGAGGCCATTGTCACGGTGACAGAGACCCTGGAGGAACTCCAGCTGCCTCAGGAGGCTGTGGAGAGCGAGTCCCGGGGAGCCATCTACTCCATCCCCATCGTGGAGGATGGAGGGGGTGGAAGCTCCACTCCAGAAGACCCTGCAGAGCCCCCGAGGACCCTCCTTGGTAACCGAATCCCCTAGTAAGAGAAGTCAGTGGTGCGGGTGCAAGCCCGGGGTGCTGCGTGACTTGTCCGTCCGTCCTTTCTCAGCAGCTCTGTGATGCAGGGCCTGTCTCCAGTGCTCTCCCAACCCTTGCCTTTCCAGCACATTCCACTCCCAACTCTCTGGGTCTGGGAAGGAGGGTGCTCCTTCCTTTGCTCCCTCCTCCCCCCACCTACCCGAAATAAACTAGAGATTTCAAGGCTAGGAGAGAGAGATATAACAACCGTGTTTTTTTCCTGGGCTGATGACAGCTCACAGAGCCTCCTCCAGGTAGTCTCAATATTGCTGCTCAGGTTGAAGGTCTTCTGGTGGGGAATGGAGGTAGCCTCTCCCTGGGACAGGCTTTCCCCTGGTCGCCCCCCCGCCCTGCCCGCCCTCACCCTCCCCAGCCCCTGCTTCCTTCCCTTCTCCCGCGGTCTCCGGTTTGGGGCTGGTGCTGTCCCTGGTGCTGAACCACCTGTGCTTTGTCTAGAATTCGAAACGCCATCCATTGTCCCTCCCCTGGGGTCCTCCGAAGAGGAAGACAAGGCTTTGGAGGAAGAAGAGAAATACACAGATGAAGAGGAAGAAGACGAGGAAGAGGAGGAGGTGGAAGATGAGGCCCTGTGGGCCTGGCACAGTGAGATCAGCAGCCCAGACCCGGAGACTCTTCTCCCCACGGAGCCAGCCCTAGAGGAATGGCTCTCCCGTGCCTCCCCCCGCCCAGCGAGTGCAGTCCTACAGCCTGCTGCGTCCCCACACCCCGACGGAGAGCCGGAAGCTCCCAGGCCTCCGAGGGTCCTTGGACCACCCACTGAGACTTTACCCACTCCCAGGAATGGGAAACTGACACCCCCGCCACCTTCCACTCCAGCTGGGGAGAGAGCGGTGGGGGAGGAGGCTGGTGGTCCTGAGCTGTCTGGGGTCCCTCGAGGAGAGAGTGAGGAGGCAGGGAGCTCTGAGGATACCCCGGCCCTGCTTCCAGCCACACGGGCCCCTGAGGGTGCCAGGGAACTGGAGGCCCCCTCTGAAGAGAATTCTGGAAGAACTGTCCCAGCAGGGACCTCAGTGCGGGGGCAGCCAGTGCTGCCCACTGACAGCGCCAGCCGAGGTGGAGTGGCCGTGGCCCCCTCATCAGGTAACTTTGCCCAAGGCTCGAACTCCCTCTTTCTCCTTCTTCCCTTTCTCCCCCTGAAGCTCTGGGTCACATGACCTATGGTCCTCTGACCCCCATTACCCCAGCATCTCCTGTCCTTTGCCTTCATCTACTACCTGTGGGTGTCCAGTCTTGGGTGCCACATCTGTGACTTCCAACCCTGCTCTCTGATTTCTCACCTCATGACCCCCAACCCCACCGTCCCACCCCTGTGACTCCAGCCTCCCAACTGACCACTTGCGACCCTTTCTTGCCCTTGTCTCTCCACCTGTGACTCACCAGCTCCACAGACCACCCACCTTCCTCAAGCACCGTAGATGCCCTGGGGGCCTATTGTATTCTTGGGGCCCAGGCCCCTCTCCTGCTGCCCCTCCCCCTCCTGTGTGCCACTCCCTTTAGCCACCCCACTGATATCAGGGAAGCCTGGGATTCCATCCCTGCCCTCAGCCTCTGGGGTCTAGGAGAGCCTGTATCCCCACAGAGCCTTAAGCGTCTACTTCTGTGAAGTATTTTTTTGACTGTTTCATGGAAAACAAGCCTTGGAAATAAATCTCTATTAAACCACTTTATAACCAAAACTCTGGCACCCTCTGTGTCCACCCCCAGCTGTCTGCCCTTTTCATTCCTCGCATTTGTGTCGCAAGTCCGGGCAGCTCTCTGATGCTCCCCCTCGTGCCCTGTCTCTCCCCCCCTCTCTCCCTTGCTCTCTGCTCCTCTCTTCCTTTCTTCATCCTCAGCCAGTGCCCCTTCCCGCCCTCCCCTTCTAACATGCTCACTGGTCCTCCATCCTGCCCTCTCAGGCTCCTCCTCTGCCTTCCTTCCTGACCACCAAGAGCCCAACTCTGATGGTGCAGAGGAGTCACTGTCCATCAGTCAGCGGGGCTGCTGGGAGTTGTAGTCCCTCACTCCTGATGGGGTGAAACTTCTGCCAGCCTGAGAGGGAGGGAGAGAGAGAGAGAGAGTGAGTGTGTGTGGGTGCACACATGTGTACTCATTTCTGAGCCATCTTGAAGGCTTCTGTCTAGAGCCGGACATACAGACTAGTGATGGAGAAAGTCCGTCTTGGCGTAGAAGCCCATCCCTGGCCCCAGCCTCCCCCACCATAACTCAGAAGGGGGACGGGATCTAACTTCCATCCCACTGCCCACTGCCGCCCCTCCCCCACTGACCCTGCCCTAATGAGCACCTTGCCACCCCTTGGAAGACTCTCACCCTCCCTGAACCCAAAAGATCTCAAAGTCCCTGATGCTGGAGAAGACACAATGCAGGACGCGAGGACGGAGAGGAAATGCAGAGGGGAAGGAGTGGGAGTCAGATTCTGGGGTCTGAGAGAAGCCCCACTGGCTCAGGGAAGGTTGAGCTTCCCAGTGGAGACCCCTGGAGAAGGCTGGGTTCTTCCCAGTTCCTGCGTTGCCCTCCCTAGATGGTCTAGGATTGGATAGGGCCCCTGCATCACACCCGGCCAGCCCATCGGGCTCGCCCATTTCAACCATTGGCTCCCTGCCCAGCTGGCCTCGGAGCTGTGTGGGTTGGGAGGCGGTTTGGTGGGAAGAGAAGCAGCAGTGGGAGTCTCTACAGTGTTTTAGTTACCCCACCTGGAGGCCCAGGGATGTCCTCTGGCCTACTATTGCAGCAGGAGGGAAGAACTTTCTGGTTGTGTATAGCAGTTGGCCCCAACATGGGAAGGAAGGAGAGTGGAACGTCTCAAGAGGGGTTCCTTCACCTCCGCTCTGTCTGTCCTGGCTCAGGTTCTACCTCCCTCAGCCAGGGGAAGGACCTCATGGCCTGGGTGGGGAACCAAGTTTGGAATCTCCGTCCCCCAGGAAAGTGTGAGGGATGGAATGGGCTTCAGGACACCTACGCTCTGTGGGTCCTGGTGCTTAGTGGGTTAAGTAAAACACCTCTCCTCCCCCTTTGCCCCGGGAGCTAGTGCTGGCAGCTTGGAGGTGAGGCGGGAGGGGAGGTGACAGAGTGGGGGTGCTGGAACAGCAGATTCATTTCATCCCAAACAGCTTGGTCATCCCAGCAACATTCTTGGACTCAGCTCCAGCTTCCCCTCCCCCTACCCAGCAGAGGGAAGCACAGTGGGCCTTGCCCTTGGATGCTAGGCATAAGGCACAGTCTGAAGAGTCCCGCTCAGAGCTGATTTCCCCTCCCGAGCTGTGAGCCCAGCCCTGCACTGTCAGTCTGTGGGGCCGTCTTCCCCTTCCTGGACCAGAAGGAGGGAAATCTACCCACCCAGCACCCAGGCCTGGTGTAAAGGCCGCCACCTCCTGTCTCCGGATCCAGAGGGAGAGAGCCCAGAGGGGAAGGCAGGTGACCCAGCCAGACCGCAGATGGCAGGCCTTCAGGGTTCTGTGTCAGTCTAAGAAGACTGCCTGGGGGAAGGAGTGCCAGAAGAAGGGAGAGACGGGGATTGGAGGGCTTTCTGGGCTGGGGAACTTGCAGAAAGCCCAAGGTGGAAGGGAGTTTGGGGAGATAAGAAGGGGGGACAAGAGACTGCATGGTGTTGAGAGAGTGTGAGGAGCCGGCTGTAGGACAGCGGGAGCCCTGCAGCTTCAGGCTGGGGGGTGGGTAGGGGGAGAGGACGATTAGGGCATAGACCCAGGGGAAATACGTTGGTTCTTCACTATGATAGTGCTTGGTGCTTCTGGGGCTGACTCTATGCGCCCCACCCCGGCTGCAGAAGGAATGGCTAGCCCTCCCCCACCCCAGTATCAGGTCCCAGAAGCAGTAAAGTACAGACCACAGCTTTCTGTTGCTGCGGTGACAGTCCTCTCCTCTGGTTTCACCCAGCCCACCTAAACTGTACAGAACTGTGCAGGTACCCGGCCCCAAGACAAGAGAGTGGGGGACTAGCCTCCAGGCCCAGAGAGGTCAAGTGACCTGCGCAATGTCACTCAGCAGAGCCAGGAGCCACAGGAGAGTCCAGATCTCATGGTCCCCAGCCCAGTGTCTTTCCCTTTCGTGGGGTTGGGTCCTGAGGGCCTTCCTGACCACCTTCCCCCAGCCTGTTACACTGGGCCCACACTGGTAGCCACGAAAATGGCCAGCACAGGGCTGAGTCGATGCTGGGAAGGGGGATGGTCAGTGTGAGAGAGAAACCCAGAACTTAGGCCTGGGCTGACTTTTAAGGTGCTGTGATAGCTCCCAAGACAAGGAGGCTGGGGCTGTGAACTCTCTGAACCCTTCCCCTGGGGGTTCAGGCTGCAGAGTTGTGCTCCCCAGCTCCCCCCACCTCACTTCTCTCCCCCTTCAGGTGACTGTGTCCCCAGCCTCTGCCACAATGGTGGGACGTGCTTGGAGGAGGAGGAGGGGGTCCGCTGCCTGTGTTTGCCTGGCTAGGGGGGGGACCTGTGTGATGTTGGTGAGTGTGTTGAAGGGCAGGGTGTGGGGGGATTGGGGGTAGATCTGAAGCCTGGACCCGGGACAGTGAGCTAGCTCTGCACCCAGGAGGGAGGGCACTGGTTTGGGCCTTGTCATTAATGAATCTCCATTTTAAGCAAATCACATAACCTCTCTGAGCCCTAGCCTCGATTTCCTCATCTGTTAAGTGGAACCACACATGCCTTTCTCAAGTGGTCCGGGAACGAGGAGTGCATAGCCTACCCATGCCCCTGGCAGCAGGCGGTCCCTACTTGTCACTTCTCTCCTGGGAAGATGGGATGTCACAGCCCCCTAGGATGGAGGGTTGCGGAGACCCAGACCGGGACACCAGCCCTCACACTCCTTGGTCCCTGGCGCTCAGAGGACGAAGCCATCAAGGCCCCCTGCACCGGGGTCCCTCAGGACTCCTCCTTGCCCCCTTTCGGGGCTGGCCCTTGGGCAGGGATCGCGGGCCCCTTAGCCCCGCCCCCTGCGGCCGCGGCGGGGGAGGCCCAGTCCCTTACAGAGGACGTGCCGCCGCGCCGGCCTCAGCGAGCCGCCCCTCTGTGCCCCAGGCCTCCGCTTCTGCAGCCCCGGCTGGGACGCCTTCCAGGGGGCCTGCTACAAGCACTTCTCCACGCGGAGGAGCTGGGAGGAGGCGGAGACCCAGTGCCGGCAGCTCGGCGCGCACCTGGCCAGCATCAGCACGCCGGAGGAGCAGGACTTCATCAACAGTGGGCTGGGGGCGGGGCTGGAGGGGCCCGTCGCCCGCCCTTCCTCACTCACTCATTAACCCATCACTAACCGTCAGTGAGTGCGGGAATCCATTAACTCCCTCATTAACCCGGTGCCCATGCCCTGGTTTACTTCGCTCATTCATTCCCGTCCCGTGGTCCCTGCCCCGCACTTCCCGCGGGGCCAGCGGGCTTCGGCCGGACGGGGCTGGCGGCCGCGGTCCACCTGCAGCGGCCCGACGCCCCCCGCGGCCGCGCCCCCCTCCCGGCCTCTGCCCCCTCCGCCTGCTCCCCCGACCCGTTCTGGCCCTGCCGATGTTTTCTTCTCCGCACCACTGCCGCCCGCCGGGGCCCTGCCCTCTGTCCGCGCGCGGGCAGAGGCTGGACGGGCGGATGGGAAAGCGGGGAAGCCCCCGCTGGGTCTGGCGGGAACGACGCCCCCCCCCCCCCCCCCGGGGCCGCCGGGAGCGGGGAGCGGCGCCACCTGCTGGCAGCGGGGCTCACTGCACACCTGCGCCGGCCCGCGCTTCCTCCCCAGGTCGATACCGCGAGTACCAGTGGATCGGGCTCAACGACCGGACCATCGAAGGCGATTTCCTGTGGTCAGATGGCGTCCCCCTGGTGAGAAGCTCCGGCTGTTCCTCAGCGGCCTGGGTCGCTTCTTCCAAGCCCTATTAACCTCCACCCCCCAGTGACCTCATCCCTCGCCCTCCTCTGCGGGCCCCTTCTCTGTCCCTCTTCCCCCTGGGGCGGCCTCCCTTCTTTGCGTTCCTTTCTTCCCATTATTCCCCCCACCAAAGCCCGTGAGCTGTTCCTTCACCTCCTGGGCCCCCACTCCCCATCCCCCCCCCCCCTGCCTCTTAGTGCCCCTCCCACCCTCCTCAGGCCCTCTAGGTCCATCCCTCCCCCTCACCCCCCCCCATGCCTTCCCCCCAGCTCTATGAGAACTGGAACCC